AAAAAAAAAAAAAAAAAGAATAATGGAATGTTTTACAAGCAATCATTAGTCAACTCTCTCAACACAGCAAGTTAGCAGTGTGAACAGGGAAAAAGCCATCAGCCTCATTCCCAAACCCCATGTTCTAACCACCAAGACTAGATGTACCCATTGAGATAAACACTTAATTCTTAAAAGAACTACTTAAATTTTCCACCCTTTAATTCTGAGGAACAATTGTCACCTAAAAACCAAACACTGCCTTTTACAAAAATACTTCAACCTAATGTGTTTTACAAAAAGCTAATCCTATTGCACCCTGCAGTTATTTCTCTTTGATGTAAGTGTTTAAATTCTCCCCCAGCCTTCATACCTGAGAAGCATTCAACTCAAGGCTAATCCATAAGTGTTTTTCAAGAATTTCCACATTTTTAAGGGAAAAAACCCAGCATGGACCATATTTTTGGCACAAACAGCCAAACTGTTTCTAACAGATACGTCATGTATGTTACAAGTGAAAACTATGAAGAAAAGGCACTGGTTGTTTTTCAGTGGTTCATGTTTGTTAATTTTGCAGCAGCATCTCAAAAATAAACTGCCAATATAGAAGAAGTTTCATTTTTAATATGGAGCTCTTACAACGTTCACCGAGATAAATCTTTGACTACTTTAGGCTATCACAGCACTGGTCTTCAGAAGTGCTATGACTGTTTATATTAGGTGAGGATCTGGCCACTCACAGTTCATTCCTGTGAATTCTGTTTAATTCAGTATTCTGACCTGCTGCAATCCTTGCGTTCCAGAAACCGGGACTTGCATGATTGTCTGGCCTTGACCTCCAGGCACAGCTTGCACCATGATTGGCTGGCCGGTTGATGTGATCAGCTGACCTCCGCTTACTTGTACCATTAACGGCTGACCTTGGACCTAGAAAACGGGAGGAAAACAAACACACAGAACAATGAAGGAGAATAAGGTAACAAGCAGCACCAAACAAAAATGGCAAACATCAAGGCAAACGTTTACCTATTTTAAATGGAAGACCTATGGAAAAAAATGGAGAAATAGTCACTAAATTGCTCTTATGCACAACTTCTAATACTCAACACTTCTAAAACCATCTTCATCTTGTGCTGCTGGATTCCATATGTGGCTTTCTTTGTTAGGGCCCAACTAAAGCTTCCAAGCCAGATGCAACACAGCATGCAGAATAAGGCTAAACTGTTCATACACTAGTATAAATAGGGATTATTTCCATATACAGCTTGAGACTCAGAATAGCTCAATCTATATAGCACATCAGCTTTTCTTATTAAGAAACCTAACAAAAAAAAATAGTAAAGGCTCAAACATCAAGCTACCCCAGTGGATAAGGTCTGTAGGAGTCAATTCTCTCTCTAAGCAATTACAGTCATATAGCATCATAATTTCCTGATGTATGCTGCATACAATGTCCTTGGAGCATCTTCTGGCAACTACAGAGTGAAACTTATACCTTTAACAAGCACAACATATGGCTCAGACAGAAGAAAAAGAGTGGATGAAAACCATTTTCTGGACCAGCAAGACCCTTGGTAAGATTTTTCTGAAGTGGACATGTTGGCCTGTAAAATTAGCTTTTGGAAAGGGGGCAGGAAAGAAAGGCAGCAAGGGGAAACTCCATTCAAACTTGTCAATTTCTAACAGATACCTCAGTTTAAGAGATCACTGCTAACCAGACTTTGTCATCTTAAGCCTGAAATGGGGCCAATGGACAACATGATTTCACTTCACTGCTTTTAATGCATTTGGAAGGGGGGGGAGAGAGGACACACACACCCTAGAGAAGAGTCACTGAATTACATCCTCTGTTAAAGTGGATATTTTGAGGACTTTCAAACAGCCAGTCTGCCATCGTAGACTTCTACTTTCTCCTTTTATATTTTGACCTTCTCCTCACCCCAGCCAGTTACACTGAGTGCCTGCAATTGTCTCATCAGTGCAAACTTGATAAATTCTGAAAATTATCAAGGAGAGCCCATTTATAACAGTCTAATATGATAGACTCACTTAAAAGAAATAGCTCCACTTTCCATGTCAAAATGCATTAGAGGATTACGTGCTGAAACTCCGAGGAAAGCAACCTAGATTATTTCTCAACAGTCAAGGTTGTGAACAAGATACCCTGTCTTCATTAGGACATCTGATAACCCTACTACAGTGTCATCCACACTACACTTTGCTAGCATATGACAACCACCTTCAGCAAAGAATAGTATATAACCTGCATCATAATTAAGGAAGGGATGAGAGCATGCATACTTCAGTTATAAAGCAACAGGAGTAAACTGAACAAAAATGATAAAGACTATGCATTTCATTAACATAATCAGAAACGAGCAAAAGAGAAAAAATGCAAACTTTTCAGGCACAGGACTGTGATGCAATAGAGTGCCAAGGAAGGCGATTCAATCTGCTAAATCTTTCACATTTTAGCTCACAGCAGAAAGTCACTGACCAGTTTCACTGACTAGCAAGACCATTTTGCCCTTTCAGTACCTTTTTCCTCCAATGAATCGAGCAAGGAAAAAAAGCCCATATGGATTTCAGTGATGAAAGAAAGCGTACAACTTTGCTACAGTAACAACATTCACCATCCAGAGGGCTTTTTTAATCTCTTTAAAAGCCTGCTGCATGAACTAATGGGATGAAGTTCACAAGCCATGGAACATTTTGCATGAGCAGAGGGTTTGAAATAACCTGCAAACCTTCCTAATTTGTGACTAATTGTATTAGTAAATACCATGCAATTCATGGATTTTCCTGTATCATACAATGGTAGTAAGCGATGAGTAATTATCTCAAGCCTAGAGCATACAGTAGAAGCCTCAGTTTTTGTTTCCTATTATGGATGGGAGGAAAGGCACTCCCTTGAAGCTGCTGGGTTGTCCCCCCACTCTGTAGCTCCCTTTTATGGCAAGATGACAAAATTCCCAGTACATGCTGGTGTCTGCAACGATGCTGCAATGAAAGTCCTGGGGTTTGTCGTCTTACTTGACTAGAGCTGCTAATTCCTCCTTTGACACCTTCTCATAATTACAGAAGCAGAGAGTTTTTGCAAGTGGATTACATTTCACTGCATGCATTTCAGATCTAAGAAATAAGTAGCTCTGCATTCATTTTATTGGCACAAAACTACAGTTAGCTGGAGTTATGGCTGTTACATACTAGTGAAACCATCACTAATTGTTCTGTGCCTATTTCAAACCCTGCTACAAACAGAGCATTAGTTATGAGGTGATGGGAAATTCATGCAGTGCTCACAAACACATTTAGAGAGATCACCACTACCTGGAGGGTCTGGACTTGCTGGCCTGAGGCGGATGCCACCTGGGCCTCTGTCTGCAACTGGACAGCAGTAACACCACCCTGCTGCTGGGAACAGGAACAGGAATAGCTTGAAACAAGGAAATGCAGAGCTCAAAACAAGAGACAACCTTTCTGGTGGGAAAGGGAAAACTTCGAAGTTGCATACCATCTGCCCTCAGAAAATAAATGGGCTGAATATGTTCCAATTCACAAAACAGAATACTAGAAATCTCAATGTATGCATGCTGTCAGGCTCAGCAACCCCAAAGAAAGCAGTTATAGGGGACATATCAAAGTATTTTGAAATATAATGACTGTGGGTTTTTTTAATCATTCCATTTTACTTAAGTGCTTTGCTTTTCCCAGTTATCATAAAGAGTTGGTAGTAATTTGTCAGACATCCCAAATAAAGGGTGCTAAATTCTTTTATCACAGAATAGGTACAGGATGGACAGCTGCAACGCAAGGTTCACCATGTTACTGTGCCAACATGCTACAATCCTGACTCTGAAGGACAAATCTCAAGGGTTGAGATTCTCTAATGACCTGTTCTATCTATAGCCTCTTTGCTGAGGCACCCAAAAATAATCTTGCTAGTAAGAGGGACATCCTATCTATTAAGAACTGGAGTAGGACTGAATCATTCAAAGTTGTTTTTTTTTTAATCAAAATTTATCTTCAAAAAGATCACCTTAAGTAGAGTGTGATGTTGACTTTGAAAATTAACACCAGGACAAAAAACAAGATCAACGTTTGGTTCTATTATCTTTGTCAACCTTCCTTTGGCATGTCACAGGAGAAAAAAAGATATGGAAAATACAGTTTAAAATGTCAATAAATCAAACTTCAGGTTCTGACTATGTGTCAGCATCAGCTCCATGGATTTTAATTTTCAACAGATCCTAAACTGCAGGTTTCAACCTCTGTTATGGTCTTAGTAATAATCTAATCCTGCTCCCAATTAAGACAGTCAACTTCCGATAAGTACAGTGGAAGCATAAGTTCACTTTCCAACTGTCTAGTACTCATACTGATTGACAAGCAGCAAAGTGCTACTTCAAAGTGAAAGCCTGATTCATACCATCGTATGTACATGGCAGGAAGAGTAATTTTTGTTCAAAGCTAAAGCAAACATAAGGCATGACAAACGAAAGTTACTGACACCAGGGAACTAATGTGCGCGCCCAGGATGAAAATTCCTTACAAAAGGAAGGTGGAAAAAAAGAACATTTTAACAAGTAGCCTAATTTATTATTTTTTAAGCAGCTCTATGTGCTGGTACACTGTAAGATGCAAGCTGAAAATTACTTATAAGAGGAATGATAGACAGGAAAAAAGTAGCAAATAACTGAATGATGTGTCCAAAGTAATACATTGTTTTTCGGTTACTGTGGTATGTGCATTTGCTCTTATCTGTCAGCGGGGGACAAAACACCACAATCTGGATAAACATTTTTTTGTTTTTTTTTAAAGAAAGCTGCACAAAGTTTCAGCGTGCTTGACACAACTCCATTTCAGACTTTGGAAAAAATTACTGTTGTTTGTGGGCTGAGTGCTCAGACTAATAAGGGGTTTCCATTTAATACCTTCATTATCATTTTCAGGTAAGGTTACCTTTGCTCACATCCATAACAAATGGTGAACTCTCTAGTCTGATAAAACATGGCACTCTGCAGATGTTCTGTTTAAGATTAAATCTGCCAAAACCTGTACTTCAGTGGATAAATCAGGCTACTGAATAAGCAGTAGAAGTCAAACTGTTACACATCCAGTCAGTCTCACACAGCACCTTGCTGGCCCTGTGCAACTGGTTATTAGCTTTTCATGATGTCTGCAAGTATCAGGACTCTCAGCTCACCCTTCAAAATAATTGCCTTACCTGCTGCTGAATCTGTCCAGCTTGCACAACAATTTGTTCTGTAGAACTGTTGCTGTTTGCTGTGTACTGTTCCATAACTCTTCAATTCCAATGCTGTGCACAGCACCTCAGTCTGGATATCTTGCAAAACAATAAAAAAGCGTTATTTTTGCCTCTGTGACTCAAGGTTAGCATTAGCTTACAGTTATTGGAAACTTAGCCTCCTACTAATTCTGTCTTAACAGTAAGAACCACTATTTAACCACAAAAAAAGACTTTGTTGATAAGAAATCTTTTTCCTTTTGCAGAAAGAAGTCAGAAAATTCAGTGTCAAAATTCATTAAAAACCCTCGTAATTGTAAAGAGAGCTGCACAGTGGCTGAGGCGCTGGACAGAAATTCACAACTGGGTCCCAGTTCTAATTCTCCCACTAATCTTGTGTGAATATATCTTAATGTGCCCGCTTCCCTTCTTACCACTTTCATTCTTGTTTGAATAATGTGGAAGCTCTGGGCCAAGGAGCGTTATCTTACCATCTGCTCTCAGGGGGGTTCTCTAGACATTACTTGACAAACTATGTTCTATTATGATAAAATATTTTAATGAAAAAAGTTTACTGAAAATGCCACATCAGCACCAAGTTAACTCTTGAAAAACTCAACAGATTTCCAACAGCAAATGACATGGCAAGAGGGCCTAAAATACATCCACTGCCTACTGCACAGGATCATTCAGAATAAACTGTTTTCCTGATCCCCTTTTAACCTCAAAACATAAAAAAAAATCTTGTATATATACCCTCCACCCACATGCCATCTCTCCTTTCCTGACTTCTCACCCCAGAGAATGGGGGTTACAATGACAAAATAAAATCCCGTAACTCATCTCCCCTTCCTCTTTTCTTAACTGATCACCAAATAAGGAATTCTGACTTTCACTTCTAATGAAGCACATAGAACAATTCTCTCACAGTACAAGGTACTACTCCCCAGATTAAAAAGCCAGTTTACAACTTGTCATCTGTAAGAAAAACAACAGCAAAAAAAAAAAAACAAAAAAAAAAACACCTTCAGTTTTCAAAGAACTGTGTAGAGGATCTGGTCATGTCATGATGCCTACCAACTGCAGCCTCTGCAATGTGCAGTGAGGACTTTGACCTTTGTTTTCCCTGTCCTTTAATTTTGCGTTTATCATAAAAAACACCTAAAAAGAGACCGTACATTGATTTATCCTCTTTACATTATCTCTTTTATATTACAGTGGGATTTTGTTTTGCATTAACCCAAAATGTGGTTATTTAGTTGTTTAGGTCAGCTACAATCAATACTTCCCAGCTCTCCCACTGCCCAAATAGTACGTCTTCTTCAGGATACACGTTATGTAGCCTAAATGAGGTTATGACTTTCTCTCTCCTTGTCAAGTGCTGTGATCACAATTGAAAAGTATAATGAGTTGCTATGATCACAGAAAATATCTGAGTCACCACATAAGAGAATTTTGTAGCAATTTTGACTGTGCACTGTTGAGTTTGTAGAATTTTTGAGAGCCCAGTGTAAAATAAAACCCCTCTCAAAACAAGGGATAAATACAACTGCATTTTAGAGAGCTCAACAAATATATCATTGAACTTTTTCAAATGAGTGCCTCATACTACCTCAGACTGTCTTCCTTCACAATCTCAGACTAAGTAGGGCCATGCTTAAATAGGTACCTTGGATAGGAAACCCTAGGATGCTGCAGAGTGGTGCTGGCCATGGTACAACTGACAACCTTTCATCTGTTGTCGGCTTAAGAGAGCTATCTCTTCCACGACATATAAACATGAAGTCCTGGTCATAAAGCCAAGGAAAGTTCCCATCCCATTATGCAAGAGGAGAATGATACCGATGCCATGGCGTGCTTCTAAGTGCAATAATATCATTCTTCTTCCTAACAAGCTCTCACTCCAGTCTCAATTGCATATTGTATTCTTCACACCTGCCCTAAAGACTTGTGTGCTCCCTCTTAAAACAACTTCCACATTCCACCCTTAAAGAAAGCATTTCAGTGGAGTATGCAGGTTGCCACGGTCATTACGCAGCAGGCAAGGCAAGCACATACTAGCCGGAAGTCCCCCATTCTTCCCTCTGCCGTGTCATTAAACAGGGATCTATTTATTGGCTACCGACGCTCCAACTAGGACTCCAGTGCCTTTCAGGACCCTTCTATTATACCTGAAATCTTGATAATCCAATCAGCTCAGCTCCCTGAAAGCTTTTGGGTTAGAGGAAAATGGTAGATGTGCAGGCTACGACCTGCACCAAAGGGAAGAAAATGAAATAAAAAGGTCATAGCATGTTTTTAAGGAGGTTTAGGTGCCCAGAGCAGCGGTTGCCAACCTTTTTTTTTTTTGTACCAGGACCCGTGTGTAAACGTCGATGGCCAGTCCTGACCTAGCGCCCTTCGCCCCCAGGCCTCAGCCCCAGTGTGTGGGGCAGGGGGCAAGTCTGGGGCACGGGGGACTCTAGGGAAACCCCCAGTTTCCCGTGTTTTTGTCCTTTAAATTGAGAACCCATTTTTAAAATGTGTTTGCAATCCTCTCATATGTTCTCATGACCCACGGGTTGAGACACGCCGGTCCAGGGAAGAGAAAAGGATCGCAAACCAAGCCGCTTGACGAAATGCCCTACGTCTCACTAGCCCGCCGCTCGCTGATGCTGTAACACTCGTTTCTAGTCCAACCCCGACGAAGCGAAGGCATCTACACGGTTCGACAACAGCAGCGCAGACCAGGGGGGCGTAAAGCCAGCTCCACCTGCCACAGAGGAAAGCCCTTCTCACGTGCTACCAATGTCAAACACCCGGCTCCGAGAACAGCCCAGGGTTCAACAAACAACGAAGATATTAAAAAAAAAAAAGTCACGCTTTTTAGTCGGGATAAATTTCGGTGCTTTTTACCGCCCTACCGAAACCTGCAGGGCCCGCCGGGTCAAACCTCTCCTCTCTCAGCACTAAAAAAAATAAAAAGCCTGGACTATTTAACAACGCTGCTTAGCCGGTATCTCCGCATTAGCGCCATTTCTCAGCTGAAACCAGCGGGTAACACTTCAAAACACCAAGTCAAGGGAGGCTGCATTTTGCAGGCGCGGGTCTCAGAAGGGGAGGAGAGCAGCGGGTTGGTCCAGACTCTACACTTGATTGTTTTGCATTGGCCGCTGCTTTTTCTTTTCGATCCCCGCGGGCCCTCGGGCACATCAAGCCTCCCCGCAGCCCCGGGGTGACCACGGCCGCTTCCCCCACACGCGGAAGGGCCGCGGCGCTGACGGCGGGGCCCCCCGCGCGGCCTAGCCTCAGGCGAGCCCCGGCGC